CCCACCCTGGGGGAGCGCTATGTGGTGACCCCGACGTTTGGCTCTGTGGGTATGGAGACCACGCAGCTGACGGAGGAGAACGAGGACTTTGCCTCTCGCGGCCGCTTCCACCACTCGTCGGTGATCAGCAGAGGGCACTTCATAAACCAGTTCAACTAGTCCCGGGGGTCAGCTGACCGCGAGTCCGTACGGCACAGAACCGCGCGCTGCTGAATCGGGGAGGTCACGTGAGGCGCGGTGAAGACGCGGCGTTGGGTGGCCTCCGTGTCCGCCGCTGTCACAGACTTCTGATAGTGAACCCCCCGCTGGGGCAGATTCTTCAATGACGAACTTCTAGCGCTGTGCGTACACCGGAGATAAACGCAGATTATAATGGACCTCCGGTGACTGTGTCTGCTGCGGTGTGACCCGAATGTGCAGACCGGTTCCCCTGGACTCCCGACATTCGGAAACATTCGATTTCCAGTATCTGGCTCGCTGGAACTCCGGCGGGGGAGGGAGGCAAGGAGTTCAATAAATCGGCATCCTCAGCATTTCCGCTGCGTCCTCTCCTATTGGTGCTCCTTCTACATGCACAGCGCCATCTAGTGGCTGAAGGGGAGAAGTGCAGCCCATGTACATCGGAAGGGAGGCGAGGGGTGCAGAGTGTCCCATGACATAGAGGTGACTCTGGGGAATGCGGCATCGTTGGACTCTACTGACACACACAACCACACGGACCCCAAAAACTGTTTTTACACAGAGAGGACGGAGCCGTTCCATCCCGTGCGGCACCACCGCCATGTCTGGGGACTTGTTTATGTGTACACCCCCCCATCCCCCACGGCTCTGATGGTGCAAAATAACCTCAAACTTCAGTCATATATGAGCCAGTAAAAAATCCGGCACTGCCTGGAGAGATCCGGCAAGTTCCCCGGAATGGATATAAAATGTCTCTTCCCCTTTAATTTCGCTCCGAATCCCTCGCGCTGCAAGTCAGTAGTATTCGTTTTGGATCATTGTGTGTGCGCGGCCGCCGTATACAGAGCCGGGGGAGGGGGGGTCCAACTGTTAATTCTGTGTGCCAAATAGTGACCCCCCGACCTGTCCCGGGGCATCTACGAAGGAGAGACGTTTAACCCTGAAACTGCTGCACCAGCTCGGTCACATGCCCAGTGGTATAGGAGGCGGAGTTGGCCGATGGTGGGCGGGGGGGGGAGCGGGCGGAATATTTACACCCGTGTTCCATTCTCTGCCGTGCAAAATAAAGTGTGACTCCAGCTTTGTGTGATTTGTGTATACCGTTCCTGCGGGAGCCGGCCCACCGCGCCTACAGCTCTTGTGTCGTCTGACCTCGGCTGGACGCATGTCCGTGATCCATCTCATGATGTCTAATGGGGGGAGGGGATTTATGATATTATTAATTATCGGTATTTATGTAACGCCGACAATTTACACAGTGCTTTACATAGTTGCACATTCACATCAGTCCCCGCCCCCAAGGAGCTTACAATCTAAGGACCCTATCTCACATACATACATACTAAGGCTGAACCGATACCAATGCAAGTATCGGTATCAGTGCCAATACCGAGTTTTTGGGCTCGTACTCGCCCAAATGCTCCCAATGCCAAAACTTGCGGTATCAGGAAGCTGGGCGGCGAGTCATTCCACGCCACCTGGCTTCCTGATTGGCCGGGAAGAGGCGGCTTCCCGGCCAATCAGGAAGCCAGGTGGCGAGTCATTGCCCGCCCCCTAGCTTCCTTGTTTGGCCAGAAAGCCGCTCCATCCTTCCTTGTCACCTGGTCTGGTTTGCTTAGTAGGACTTCTGGTATCGGTAGTCCTCGGGAGAACAATGCGGAAGGGCGGGTCCTCGGGAGAACAATGCGGAAGGGCGGGCCCTCGGGAGAACAATTTGAGAGGGCGGGCCCTCGGGAGAACAATTTGAGAGGGCGGGTCCTCGGGTTAACAATGCGACAGGGCGGGTCTTTATGGGAGAATTTGTTGTTATTGATAAGATTCTTATTTGTTACCATTTTATTGATGAGTTGGAGTTTATTATCTGCAATTCCCGCCCGGGGAGGGGGGAGTTATAATGAAGAGAACCTGTCACTTTGCTCTGAATGAGCACATTCAATGAATGGGACACCCATAGATGTGAGATGGCAGTTGCTAATTTATGGCCTAATCAGGTGGCAAGATCAAGACTATGGGGCAACCCCCTCACTACCGGTCCCACAATAGGCTCCTCCCCTCTACAGAGACATGAACATGGAAGGTTGGCAGAGCCGAGCATACAGGTCTATGGAGCTCTCTGAAGACATTTCACGCTGACGTCGGTCACATCCGCATTCACATCCCGTCGCCCCCTGATATCTATGACCAGCACCGAGTATACAGCAAGATCTTCTCCTCCAACAACCCCAAGGAAAGGAAATGGTGGAGAGGAAGTGATAGTTCTGTCACGATGAAGCTGCGGAATCTTTTTTTACATTATAGTTCTCAACTCCACCCATCAATTATTTCCTTATATTGATATATTTTCTGTTTGTGAATAAATATATATTAGAGGCACCGACATGACAATTCCAAAAACAAAACGGAAATAAAAAAAATTGTCAGGCCGAGACCGAATTTTTATTTTATTTTAACTTTTTCAGATTTTTATTAATATTTGATTTTGATTTAGTTTTTATAAATGTTTACATTTTTTTAATATTTATTTTTATTTATTCAATTTTTATAAAATATTTTTATTAGTTAATTTACTTTTAGTGTCTTCGGGGAAATATTGGGGGTCTAAACAGATC